TTCAGTGTCGTCTTGTGGTTGCACAAATGACAACAACACGTTCTGATGGTTTCAATAAATTACTCTATATACTTGTTCCTATACAAATTATGTCCGTATATGGCGCCCTTACAGAGAGAATGGAATTTTCACTTTTGTTTCTGTATAATATTTTTGTTATTTTGGCTCATTTGCACTATGCGATTTGTGTGGTAAGTTTATTTAGTGATAAAATTATTCGAATTCTTTTATAATAAATTTTAGGTTCGACAAATTTGTGATCATCTAAATATATTTGCCTTTAAGATAAAAGATTCTTCAACACAATCATCGTCAACGGAGGCTCATATTAAACACTCATAAAATTAAATTGAAATGATCTGATTTTTTTTCAAAGCTTATCCTATTCGTGCCTACATGTATTTCGTGTGTTCTACCTTCATCCTCATATACTATTTCGTTTATTAGCTAATATAAAAGATCAATATAAACACTAACCTAGGCTTTGTGAAATATAGATCTCCGTTGTTTGTGTTTTTTTGTTTTTGAAAATGCAATTATTCTATGTTTGTTTGTCAGTTTTGCTTGTTTATTTTATTTATATATATATATACATTTACACATGAAGGCCATTGTTTATCGATATTTTGATAATCAAGGTACGTATATATAAATACATATGAGTATGCTTTTTATTTTATTTTTGTTTAAGCTTTGCATTAAAGCTACAGTAAAACCTCTCTAATGTGAACACCGTTGGGACCGAAGAAAAGCGTTCATTATAGCAAGGTGATCATATAGAATGGGTCCATTTACAGCAAAAATCGATTTTTGGGACTTTTCCAAACCGTTCAGATTAACAGGTTGTTCATAAAGGAGGGGTGTTCACAAATATAGGTTTTACTGTAGATGAAGATTTAATAATATTTAAGCAAACGAAACAAATGTTACAGTTATTGTTGTCAGTTAAAATCTCTAATGATTTATCTATCTTCTATTGTTCTATGATCTTTCATGGTTTGATATTAAATTGATAGAACAAAAAACAAAATAATGACTAATATAGACATCAAGTATAATAATATTTAATGGAAATTCGTGTGCTTACTCCCATGAAAAACAACGAAACAGATTTTATTATTATTAACGTTCTCTTTTATTTTTTTACTACATTCATTAGCATTAAACAGTTTTATACTGATGGCATACTGCTGATCGTCGAGCACTTATTCCTATAGAAATAGGAAAGAATGAATATTTCTTTTGAAATAAAGATTTAAAGAAAAAGAGTGATTTCTTACGTATTCGTTTTTAGCAAAACGTTTACTGTTGAGAAAGTAACGTTTCGATTTTAAAAAATATCGTTTAGCATTGAGATGACTTCGATCTTCATCATTTGAGTCATTCACATCATCATTGATGTATTGATACGATTCACTTCGTGTTGGTAAAAATCGTCTTTTAGCCATAACATGAAAAGCGTACGATAGTTTTTGATTACCATTTGATGACTATTCATTAAATTAATACGAGTGAAACGTAAAAACAAAATATTTCTACTTACAATACTGTGATCAGCATCATTTGTCGCATGTGCACCAATGAACAATGCGCATAAGAGAACAATAGTAAGATAAAGAGATATTTTTTCAATAGCGATAGACATGATAACTAAAAGAAATATTTGTGTTTTGAATCAAATCTATGATACTGCTTTTATATAACACTGACTTGCTGCTTATGCTTTCTATTAAGAATATATTTTTCTAACGTTCTTTTTTATTCCGAAAGGACGTTTCTCGTCAATTGTGTAAGTGACTTTATATATGAGCATTGTTTTTCTCTCCTTTCTCTCCTCTTTTCCCGCTTGCTATATTTCATTCACTTAATTGGTCACCTCAATGAAATATTCACTCTCTCTCTCTCTCTCCCTCTGTCTATCTATCTATCTCTCTCTCTATCTATCTATCTATCTATATATATATATATATATAGTGCGTAGGCAAGTGAATGCATTTTTAATTTGGGAAATAGTTTTCACAACTATCAATCATATCTTCACTAAAGTATATGATTAAGATACTTGTATGTTGCTTTCAGTTACATGTTTAAGTAATGGGCCTATCTACTTTTATTTTTTCTTCATCGTCAAAGTGTAACGAATACATATAAATGCACTACCGGAAATTTCTATTTTTCTTCAATACTAAATTGCGGAAATAAAAATAGAAAAGAACTTCTATTATCGATCTCTTCATGCTCCATCGAATGTTCAACTGATTAAAATTTGTATAGAGTAAAACATAGTTTTGTTGTATCTATAGATATGATATTTCTTCGATTGAATAAATTACCAAAATATAAAAAGAAGACGATTTTCACCGCGTCAGAAAGTATTTCAAAGATTTGATTAAATTTTGACCAAATCGATGGATCATAATTAAAATGTTTACTTTAATAACAAATATAATCAGTTCGAATAAAATTTCACACGAACTACTACATTCTGATTCCAAAAAAATACAAGCCACTAAATCAACTAATATATGAGAACGGAATACAGGCATTACTACATTTTATTTTTTGTGCGTAACAAAGATTTCTCAATGTAACAGCTCACCTAATTCGTCTTGCATTCTGCAAAATTCTCTTATTATATAGTAATTTCTTTTCGGTCTGTTCAATCTCGTTGATGTAACATGCGTGTCATTTCTAATATATTTCATCTCTTGTCGGAAATGAAACCAAGCTATACTCTAAATTTGTCCTACGTGTTCTGATATCGTCGATTTTACTCAATAATTGAAAAAAGAATATGAATATAAAAAACAAGTCTTGCTTGAAAAGAAGAAGAAAAAACTATTTTCTTACCCACATTTTATTCTATAGATAAAATCTTCTAATGCCATAGAATAGAGAGATTATCCCAATTTAGACTTTTGGTATTTTTATGAGTTGACCGGTAAAACTCCCCAATGTATCTTTATACTTGTATTTCATAAATAAATTCTTCTTTGTTTAACACTGCGTTTTGTTAGTGTTTAAACAAGTCCTCATTAACTTGCAATTGAGCAATTTCGAGTATGTTACGCATGTCTCATTGAAGATAAATATTACATTTATTTTTCATGAATAAAATGAATTATTTATTGATTTCTAGTGGAGAACTACATAAACGGAATTTTTTCAATAGGAATCCAAAAATGAATTCTTTCATTTTAGAAATACTTAAACTCGTTGTATATACGTATATATATATATTCATTAAAGAAGCTATTAATGGTAAATATTAGAAAATTGAAAACTCAAAAAGAACTTCATTCTATTGATTTTGTCTCAGAGAGAGAGAGACTTCATCATGAATGTCATAGCAGAAACTTTACAATCATAGCAAGAAAACGTATAACTCGAAATAATGATAAATATTCGAAACAAGAGATACGATAAACGTATCTCATGAGCACTATTGTCCAATTAGTGTTAAATTTTCCACGAGCTAAGAAAAGCTAGTGAAATGAAAGGCGCATCAGTTTCCTACATTGTGGTGCTTATTACATTGCGATTTTAAAATATGAATCTAGACATTTTCTATTGGTTCTTTTATTCTCAAAATTGAATTCATAAAAAGAATGTCTATACATGAGCAAGAATATCAAAGTTTTGTGTACTGTACTGAAGCAGTAATATGGTATTAAATTCTTTTCTCGTTTTGGAATTTATATCTTCTTAGCTCGTATTATTTCTTCCTTGCGTAGATAAATCATGTATGACTGTAATTGGATTTCAACACATTCTGTACACGCTGGAGTTTGATCTCTCACTCTATATTATTACATCTAGGTGACAAATCTATTGTTAATCCATCAATCTTGAGGATTGCAAATATCACATCTTGCCGCCATTGAAACATGTGATTGTTTCATTTCGTAAAGATTTTTTTCCGATCGATTCAATGATGAAATAATCAATGTATTTACAATGCGAAAAGGGGAAATAATTGAAATTCTGTGTAATGAGAATATACATATGGATTGAAAAGTTGCTATGAAAAAAAATCATTACAATGGATGTTTTTCTGTAATGATGAAAAATGAAGTCTAAGTTGAAAAAAACAAACAAACAGAAGAATATTCTAAATCTATAAATATTCAATTTTATTTCGGAATTTAAAACAACGACATATAAAATAGACTATTTGCATGTATGCAAGTATAAATGCATATCAAATATCAATAATAATTCAACTGGCGAAATAATACGATTGATTAATTGACTTAGCATTGATAGTTTGACATTTAGATATCACAACTGAATATTTCCCGATAGGTTTGATTTCAGTTATTCTCAGAATTAGTTTTGCCGCTCAATATGAAATAACAAAAGGTACACTTAATTTTGATCAATATATCTATTTTTATGAAAATTATCGGCAACTAATAGAGAAAGCTAGCAGCAAAATTGTGAAAGAAACAATAATTTGAGATCACTTATTATTATTGATTCTAAATCACGCTACTTCCGTCTTTTACAGTCTAGTGTTTACGCCTGTGGTAGTCTATGTTTGTGTATCTAATGTTGAAAAAGAATATAAATCAGCGTTGGCTACATGATTGAGTCAAGAAGATACCTTCTATTTCTATGTGAACGATCAATTCGTGCCATTGAACTTTGCAATCTAGTGAATGAGAATCATGCTGACATGTTTTTTATGACATCAACAATTTTAAATGCTAGCAAAAACAATTTGATATTTTCATTTCGATGTAACCATCGAAGGCGCAACATTAACTTTGATTGAAAATTAATTCAATCAAAATTCCAATAGAATGAAATATATATGCATTTCATTCGAAAACTACGATGGATCTTATGCTTTATTGTTGTCAGTATAAAATCGACTTAATATTGTAAGAATACAGTAATGGTATAGCCTACCGAATACAAATATTTAGACTTAACATCTATAGTATATTATTTTAAGGTGTTATCATTCTTGGAAATATCGTTGTGCTATTCTGATACCCGATTTTCAATTGCATTTGTTTGCATAAGTAAAAGTTCATATAGAAGGAAGGCACTCGGAAAACACTTCTTTTTCTTCTCATCGCCTTTTTTATTCAAAATATTAATGTAATTAGAAATAAGGAATCAAAGCGATAATTATGTATTCCAAATGTTCACTAAGGTTTTATTTTATTAACCAGTCATTTTGCCGACATTGTATTTTGAATTATTTGATGAAAACAATGTCGAATATCATACATGGGGTCACACTATTGGGTGTCCCCCTGATTCTTCCCATGCTAACTCGTCCCATTTAAAAATATCCTAACTGGTCCCATGCAAAAAAAAGTCGATTCCAAATTCGTCCCATTCTTTATACGACCCTTATTAGCTTGTCAATTAAGACACAAAAGAGCATCCATTGATAAATGTTTTCTTTAACAAGTTTCATACAATAAGAAGAAAAAATTGAGAACATTTATAGAGAAAACTACAGATAAAAAACTTTATTTCTTTGTTTTATGGCTTGTCTGGGATGCTTTACAACTTTTGCTGTGTTCGCCTGGCTCACGACGAACACATGTATTATCCAGTGACAAAGATAGTGTGCTAAAACAATCTCTGTTTCGACATCTCCACTCTACGCAAGTTTTATTTACTCGCTTAATGGTATATTGAAAATGCAGATAGTTTAAAATCTGTTGTTGCCGTTCACTGGTTGTAAACCGGAACATGTTAAAAGAAAGAAAGAGGTACTATACTATCAAGACATGAACAAAGATTACATTATTTTACATTTCAGTAAGATTTCACCCTTCTTCATGCTCTTTTATGTCTTAATTCATAAGCTAATAAGGGTCGTATAAAGAATGGACGAATTTGGAATCGACTTTTTCTTATGGAACCAGTTAGGATATTTTTAAATGGGACGAGTTAACATGGGACGAATCGGGGTAGACCGTTAGTACGTAGTTAACATTATCAAATATAGAATGGCGATATACAAAAACAAGCTTCATCAACTTTTGGAATATTTACTTACTTCTCTAATAATTTGCTTTTATGTTAAAATCAATTTGATACGAAATGAATAAAAAGGAAACAAAATATTCTTTTATCTAAAATGATCTCACTACACTTGAATTACTACGTAGGTAGACAAGTGCAACTCAAAATATATTTTTAAAAGATATAATTACTTTTATAAAAAATGATAGTTTTGAACAATGCTATACTAAAAATAAAAATATCTTGTGCTAACTCTTGTTTTAACCAACGAGAATAATAATAAATATATATTTTACTTGTTTTAACCATCTATAAAACTTACCTCGCATTCAAATACATTTATCAGTTTAAATTAATTGAAGATAAAATCTATCAGTCTAAAACTATTCATCACTACGAACATATGAATTATGTAAGAATTATCGTGACATTCAACAGAGTAAAGAAAAGTAAATTCTACTTGCATGCATTGTTCATTAGATATAAAATCAATTACAAGTCTGAGTAAAGGAATATATCACACGTAACGAAATGTTCCTATTCTATGTACGGAAGAGAACACCCTGTGACGGCAACATCGTCACTGATCTTGTCTTAGTGTTTCTATGTTGTGTATATTTATTTATTTTTCTCTCATGGCCTTTTTTTTTATTGTTACACGCTTGCTTCTCTCTCTATAACTTGTTCTCTTGTTGGTTTTTTGCAGTTGAGTTATCTAAGTAACTTTTTTTTTCTTCTGCTCAAAAGAAAATCATCTTTTTGAGAGACACAATATATTCTTTCAACATCATTTCTAGTTAACAAAAAAAAAACAGCACACTTCAATTGTGTATTACCGTGTTCCATAGCAAGTATTCATAAATAGTCAATTAATTGCACATGTTCCAGAATCGGATTTGATAAATAGAAAAAGAACAAGAAGTAGATCATTTGATGAACAATATACATGCAATTTCAAGTTGATCAATTATAGAGATAATATTTATAAACTCTAAATTAATAATTTATCACTCACAGCTGTAATTCAGATGAAAGTAATTTTTCTTGATAAGAAAATACAATTCATTATTATAATTATTATGAGTTGTCTGCCAAGGTGTTCTCAGAAAATTTATTTTTGATAATAATGAATGTATCCTATAATTTCAACTCGAATGCTACTGGTTATCTCATTGTTTAGACAGCAACAGTTTTTATTCGTGTATCAATCCGTCAGATAGAAATGCTTTGACAAGTTGTTTATTCAGTTATTTTTGCTTTCGAGCAAATGGAAATAATTTACGGATCATTAATATTGGTTAGTATTGATAATATGTTCATGAGAAGCAATGGTCCAAATTCATTTAAGAAAGCAATGTGTCTGTAGGGGAAAAACTTTGTTTTCTATTTATTCAGTAGTAACGTGAACATTAGGATTGCTGATTTTTTTCACGTGATTGATAGGAACACGAAATACATGTAGCAAAAATTTATTTTTCAATATTCTAATAGTTATTAATATTGTTAAGAAGCGTGAGAAGTGATTCATTGAGATACAAGTCACCATTGTTTTTTGGCATAGAGTACTTGTCAAAGCTACACTATTTTGATGGTTTCTTTCTAAAACCAAAAGCGAGACTGTTCGATAGATACAGTCATCAATAAAAAAAATATTTCGATAATATTAGTAGACTCTTTACATTCATAGTTATATTGAGAGCAACCTTTTAGATAAAGAGAGAATGAGAATTCCATGTAAAGACGTTTATCTGGATGAAGTACTCTCGAGATCGACAATGCATAAAGAGCGATCTAGAGAACATATCATTGAATTAGTGAGTACATGAATGAATGGTAGCTGTATTGATATGTTAGTTTCTCAATGTTTTTCAATTTGGTAAGATGACTATAAAGATTTCGGTGAGAAAAGGTGATAATATTCTTGCAGCTTTACTGATTAAAGCTATCTATTCGTAGGCGATTCTTTTAAATTTAATTATACATGAAGCAGTCTACTACTTTCTTACTTGCATCGCATATCCTTGAACGATTTATAGATGCGTGACATTTCTGTGAGAATACTATTCACTTGAGACGATCGCTTTATTCTTGTTTTTAGTTTTGGTTTTCTTTTGAAGAATTTTCTAGTTTCACATTGATGATAAATTTAAGAAATGAATGCACATCAAAAGATACTTTGATCAAAGTAATAACGTTTAGTAATTGAATCAAACAGTTATTATTGATATGTGTGTCAATATATTTTGCAACTAAACAAGAATCAAGTTTTTGAAGTGTATATAACTATGAGGCGACTTTCTACTGAAATCTTCAAATGATATAGACACAATCATAACTTTTCAAGGACTAGTTCGATTACTGGCAGTTTCTTTGGCGTCGATTTTTAGCCAACAAATGAATAACAGTAAGAAAATACAAGAGAGTACCATCTGTTTACATGATATCGTCGATCATTATGCGTGCATGTTTCTGCGATGATAGCTGCAGTACTTCGTATTGTTTTTCTATTTATGAATTCATTATTAGAACAATATTTTGAGTGCATGACGTAAATGAATTGTAAAGTAATTCAGAATTCAATCAAACCTTCGTCTATTCTAACTAAGAGAAAGACCATAAGTCTTACACGGCGTACCAGGGCCTACACCTATTTACCAGAGTCTAGAAGGTCTACCAGGGTCTACGAGGGTGTAGGTGTGGTTGTGAATGAGAATGTCTTCTTCATGCCTAGCACCCACATCCTCACGATATTCGTAGACGAGTGCGTGACAAATCTTAGTGATAGTATCATTGGGATTTTCCAAAAAAAACTGTCACCTACCCACATATAGATAGATAGATAGGTAGATGGATACGTAGATAAATAGATAGATAGATAAATAGATAAATGGGTAGATCGAAGGGTCACGGTAATGATCACGGCCACGGTTGGTATCTGTGAGGGCACGGTTTTCAATCATGGTAACTGATTGATTTTCAGCCTATCGTGGCACCCACAGTTAAGATGTTATGTATGTGTGTACACGTTGTTTTAAGCCTTTCGTGGCACCCACAGTTGAGATGTTATGTATGTGTGCAGACGTTGTTTTCAGCTTTCCGTGGCACCCACACCCGCACCCTCTGGTAAATAGCTGTAGACCCTGGTAGACCTTCTAGACCCGGGTAGATATCTGTAGAAATTTAGTTTTAGCTCTGAATTATATTTTAATTCATTTCTTCTGAATTACTTTGTAAGTCATTTGCGTCATCCAGTGAATATTTTAGGAACATGATCAAATAGATTTAGACAGATCAGAGAACATTGAGAAATGTTTTCGAATATTTTAGTAGAGATAACAAAATAAAAGAATTATAGAAGTTGTCTTAATCGCTTAGAGAACATTTTTGCCGGAGATGAGCAAGGTTTCTCTTTTTCATAAATAAATAAATGACAAAGCGGCAACGATGATACAGGAAATTTAATTCTTTAATATTTTTCTCTCTGATTTGTTCGAGTTCGTGTAGATTTGATATAAGTAATCATTTATATTGGTCAGCTACAAATCCAAAGTATTAAAACTACCATTAACTCGAGACATCACTTTTGCCCGGTACACCTTGTTTTCGTTTTTTTGTTAACAATAGTCTTTAGGTGAAAAATAATTTTTAGAAACTCAACATAAAATATACCATGACCTTCTGATTCATGCAAATTTACCGTCTGTCATACATCGTGCCTAATCATTGAAGATATGATGTAAATTAGATTTCGTTTAAGATAGCCCGTAATAATCAGATTTCTAACACGAAAGATTAAACTTGCCGTTTGTTTTATTTGAATGTCCTTTAAAAACAGTTTTATAACAAGAAAAACACAACAACGATTTACTTGAAAGAAAACAATTGTTCTGTTGCTTTTTTTAGTGCGTATGATACTTATTCCTATAAAACGCGATGTTTTTCCTATGACTTCATTCTCTTATAGGTTAATTTAAAAGAAAAAGAGATCATTGTCCACCAGGACGTAATGATGATAAACCAGCTCGAAGGATTTCATCAACAAGAATCAAGTTTGTTGCAATTGATGTGCTTGAATGAATCAGTTGCTTTTTAACACGATAATTATCAAAAATGCCTAATGATTTTGGTTCCATTGGTTCACCTATAAGAAAAAAAAATTATATTTTAGATTTACATAAAAACAAACGACACGTACCTGTTGTAATATCAATGCCAACTGGTAATTTTGTTGTTGCATATTCATGTTGAAGTTTGACAATGGTTTCTTGTTGATCGTGTCCACCATTTTGAGCAATAGCCTTGGGTATGATCAATAATGATTCGGCAAACGCTTGAACGCCTAAACGTGCACGACCTTTTACTTGTTCTTTGTATTGAGTAAGTGCTTGATGAGCAACAATCTCGAAAGCACCACCGCCAGGAATAACGCAACCTAACAAAAATAAAAGGATTTACAATATGAATGGCAACTAGTTAAAAATCAAAGCACAAAGCTAACCATCTTCAATGGCATTTGTTACTGAACGAAGACCATCACGAAGACCATCTTTAAGTTGATTTAAGATGTATTTTGTTGAACCTTTGAGTAACACTGTTACTGATTTAGGGTTTTTACAACCTTCAACAAAGGTGAATTTTTCTTCACCCTAGAAAAAGAAAAAACAAAGTGAAATAAATGAAACTAAATTTGCAAGAAAATAAGGATTCGAGCTGAATTTGATGCATTGACTGATTGTAGCTGATGAGGTATGTTCAAATTTCCGCAAAAAAGAAATGACATAAGCTTTCCGCAATTTCTTTTTTTTTTTGAAATCTAAACACTACTAAAGAGATTTCTGATTTTTGTTCGAAATCTAATTTCCGTTAGAAAAGCAACATTTCGAACAGTAATTCAATGAGTCCTATCAAATCATGCTTTAAAATATGTTTGACTGAAATTCCAAATAATTCGTTTCTTACCAAAACATGTTCATAAACATCTGCAGCGAAGCCAAGACATTCCTTTGTTAAACTTTCAACCGAACTAATTATGGCAAAGACAATGAAATAATTATTTAAAGTAGTCAAATTTTCTTACTTCATGGCTTCTCCACCACATGCTAATGTTAAACGTTCCATGTTTCGACGTTTGGCACGTCGTAATGCTAAGATTCCTTCTTTAGCTAATACATCCAATGAGAATGGATCGATTCCTTTTTGATTGATTACAACAAATGTTTTATCTTTATCATCGCCCGAGCAAACTTTTCGTTTTAGCTCAACAATTTTTAGTACACGATCATCAATAAATTTCCGTTCCGATGCCACAAGACGATCACGTTCTCCAGCGTTCTTGTAGAAGAAACCGGCATTGACTTCCCTAGAAAATAAGATAAAAATACTAATAGGAATCAGTTTTATTGATCGAATGAAATTCATACGTTTTTTCATATTCCAATGACACGTTACAAGTTAGAATATAAGCATTTTTAAGTGCTTTAGGCATCGATGGATGACGACCACCATGATCAAGAACAATACCACGTACAAGACGTGAGTCAGCTTCTGTTCGATGTTGCATTTCCATAACTTCAACCATGTTTAAATCAGTGGGCACACCTGGCTCATTGAGAGCTAAGATAGCATCAACAGCAATCTATTAATATTTAATTACAGAAAAATGAATAAATTAAAAAAAAGAAATAATAACGAACATCAGTGAGAATATCAGCATTTTCAAGTGATAATTTCGTACGTAGAGACGTACGAGCAATTTGAATCAGTGTTTCACGATCAGCGGTGATAGGTATTTTAAGTGTGTCCAATACTCGCAGTGCTTCCTTTTTAGCCAATTCAAAACCTTCAGCAACAATACGAGGATGAAGACCCTATTGGTAAAAAAAAAGATAAACAAATATTATATAAATCAATCTCTATATTTTTCATTTGAATTACTTCGGTAATATAAAGATCAGCTTGTTTAAGAAGCTCGCCAATAATTAATACAATTGATGTTGTTCCATCGCCAGTTATATCATCTTGTGCTGTAGCTGCACGAGCGATCAACGATGCTGTTGGATGTTGAACTTGCTATATAATGAAGAAAATAGTTGATAGAGAAAATATTGTTTTAGAATACTGTGTCTTAAATTTTAAATGGATAACTATAAGCTTTATTTTTTTAGAGAACTATGTTTTTTTTTGAAAAGTTGAATCAAAAAAATAGGTAAAATACTTTCATCTGAAGGTTCCAAATTTTTGCTCTCGAATATCAATATACGAAATCCATGAGATGATATTAGTCGCATTCAGTATGAGTCTATTTTTTGTTAATTTTTACAAAAGTTTCCTTGTAGCATTGGAATTGATGAATACAACTTTATCAATAATACACAATGTCTTAGTAACATTCACAAAAGCCCAGTAGATCGTTATCACTAGTAAAAGAAATTCTATGACTATTTAATTTCTCGGTCTTTGTGTACGCAAGGCTAAGAGCATAGGATTTTCGAACATTGCTATAGATATAGACCTTATACTCATTAAATACATTTCAAAAATTTTCTCTTTTTCAAGATAGTGGTACCTTGAGTGAAAAAAGACCTGTTTATAAGTTGTGAATATTTTTTTTTAAGAACAATATCTCAGTTCTGATGGGATAGCTTTCATATAAAAGTTAAGTGGTACAAACCATTTCATGAAGAAGTATATTGCCATCTTTAGTTATTTTAATATCTCCAGCACCCGATACAAGCCTAGAAAATAGACAAAAATAAAAATACAAAATTGAGTAATTCAACATACATCTTCATTGTTCCTTTTGGACCTAAATTTGTCTTAAGCATTTCTGCAAGACCACGAGCTGCTGAAATGTTAATAGATAGAGCTTGTGCTTGACGAGCACTTTCAGCCTTTGGATTCAATGTTGTTATAGCCGACATAATACTATATTCAAATCACTGATATGATATAATCTAAAAAAAATGGATCATTAATGAAAAATTCGCAGTAGAGATCAACAAAATATGACAAGAACAAAAGAAAAAACAAAGATGAACACGTACAAAGTAATATGATTAATGTCTCACAAAAACAAAAAAAGAACAAGCATCTTTTTTCCTTAATTGACAAATATTTCTATCGACACACAAAAACGGTTTATATCTTGACTAGATTAACATTTAGTTAGCTATTGATCATGAGATGTAATAGAAGGAATGGGCACAGTTTGTATACGTATTTCTGGTGCAACATTTTCGGAATTATCTTCAATGACCGTTAGTATAGATGATGGAATCAATGATCGCTAAAAGAAAGAAAAAGAAATTTTTTTTAAATAAACAGAAAAATTTTATCTTAAAATTTTACTTGTCCGATTGACATGGAATGTAAGTGACGCATAAGACCCTCGCGTAATTCCGGTGCCGTCTGAAAAACATGTTTAAGTTGTGGAGGTGGTAATTGAAGAAGTAATGGAAATGAATGAGGTCGAGTTTTTTGACAACATTTGATAAAACCTTCCCACACTCGTGCTTGTTTCCAAGTCTAAAAATGAATTTTTTTCACAATGAAAATAAAGTCATAAGTCATTTAATCGAACTTGTTTTGTTATAAGCCGTTGTAGAATATTCATAACAAAGCCAACCATTTTTGGATAGAAACTAAGTGCTTGTAAAACCGTTCGCATAAACAAAACAGGTATTGGGTTAATATCTACAAGTTGTTGAATAACAACAGCAAGAACATCGTGAGTATAAATGGAACGTTCGTTTAGACATAATGTAGTTGCTATTTAAAGGAAATAATCATGAAAAAATTAATGAAGGATTCAATTTATAATAAAATATCTTTTACCGTTCATCGTTGTTTTTAATTCACATTCCTCTGAAGGAATCTGATGAAGAGCAATTAGTAATTCAGATGATAAGATTGGACTAGCATGTGATGTTTCAGGTGAAGCTGAAGACAAAAAAAAACAATTTTAGATTTTCAACTTTTCATTAATAAATTTATTAATTAGATAATAGAACTTCGAGAAAGTACTCAAAAAAGTTTCATACACGCATAAGAAAGTTAATCTTTCATTTAACTTACCATTAAGACCCAACAATCGATTAAAGACTTCTTTGACGACCGGTGGTGATAATTTGATTAGTTTTGGTAGTACACTAATGATTTCCCTCTAAAATACAAATTCTATTTTATTTTCAAATAACACAATCAATAGAACGAACCTTGTCCAAACCAGTTAGTACTGGTATTAGAAAACGAACGTCAGATACACGTTTGTGGTATAGATCTCGTACTTTTTCAACCAGTTCTCGTGATGGTGGCGCTAAAATTGAAAAAATCAGCGACAAACAATAAAATTTTATCTGAAAAGAAAAGAAAAGAACAAAAATAAACATACCTTTTTCAGTCAGAATATGAATAATACGCGTAATCAATGTTTCGGCACCTTTAGGACAATTTTCAACTAGTTTTAATATTTCTGCACTGCCCATACCCATGTCACGAACCTAAAAATTATTATTTTAATACAAAATAAATATTTAAATAATGCTTACAGGATTTTCTAAAACCCGAAGAATTACGCGTTTAATATCACCATTAACCGCTGTATAGATTGTTGCTAATCTATTATATACAATATAAAGATAGATAAGAGCAAAATAAAAACAATATTAAATACAATTTTTGCACGATTATTACGTTCTATCTACTTTCCTACACATTTCTTTTTACTTAATGCTTGGCAAATATCAATAAACATTAATTCAAATATTTCAGCGAGATGTCATTGATATACACTCTTTGATTGTATATTAACAACATGCGTCATGTCCTATGACGTTTCTATGGTTATGACTGTCATGACCTACGGTGTTGCCATGGTACTGTATGTCGTGATCAATAGGAGAGCGGATGCTACAAATATCTACTGTATATATTTCAGCACTCTTTTTCGGTCGTGTTATAAAAAAAAGTTGAAAATATAAATGACTTACGGTTGAATTAAATAATGATTAGAGGGCATCAAACTGAGATACAATGGAAGACAAAGTCGAATTGAATCTTCTGTCCAAACGTCACTTGGTACTAAAAACAAATTTTTGGATTTATAAGTATTGATCTAAATATCAATATGTTTGCAATTTCGTACTTGTTGATACTTTTTTGTCATCAGCAAAAAGTGCTTCTGGTGGTTGGCCAGCTGTTAAATGTTTTAAAAATTTCAAAGCATGTCGCTAAATAGGAAAAAGTATTTTATATTGAATTCATAAATTTGTTTTTCTAAGTTTACTTCGATTGATTGTTTAAATTCTTCTTTTTCGTGAAGACTTTTTGCGATACGTATCGCATTATTTCTTACTGGCAGATTTTCATTATGAGTAAAGTCAAGTAAAATATCCAAGAATTTTTCACGCATATTTATTCGACGAAATATCAAATCACGTAATGTATTCATACCTAGATAAGAACGAGCCTAACAAGAGAAGAACAACATACAAAAAAAAAGAAATTTTCTTTTAATTTTATGACAAAAATATATATATATGATTTACTTCATCTTGACAATATCTTTTTAATACGAGTAATGCTTTATCTGTAATTAATGGTGCATTTGTTAACAAACGAGAAAATAAACTGAAAGGAAAATCATTGAGAATAAAAGAATATTGATTTAAAAATCTCTGAATTTACCCATCACGTTGATCTGGTTTTTCTTGTAAATATTCAAGTAATCGACACAATGTATCATCGTATTTAGTAAAATCTTTTCTTTTATTTGGGTCCAATATGCTTAAGTATCCATTAGCATAAACAAATTCTTGATAAAGCCATGCGAATGCAAGATCATGACGTTTACGTACATCGGCGAATATGTAATCTTCATAAACTGAAAGAGAAAATATAAAAATTTCTATAATAGTTCATGAATAAATCATTCGCTATTGAAGAGTTCATGTCAGCCGTAAAAATCGTTGTATTGAAACTAATATTTACTTATTTGTCGCGAGAAATTTCACCAATTTTCAAATAAAAATCATTTATTCACAATTTCGTTCTCATGAAACCAAAAGACGCTACAAAAGTTGATTACGTTTAACGTACTTTCAAACTAGGCCAAAATATTCACGAAACATCTACTAATGCCGTTTCTTTAACAATGACAACTATTATCCAAATGTGAAAAGAATCATGATAGAATATAACTAGTTTTCTTTAGCTTTTTTTCAAACAAATCTGTCATTATCAAGATGACCTGGTATGAATGAAGATTTCATCAATGCAAATTATTGATAAATTCTAGCAATTCTTTCAACTTACTGTCGCGAAAACTTCGTTCAGATAAACAAACTAATGAAGTCATTGTTTTCTTTCTGACATGGCCAACACCAGCTGTTTCACAAACGTCTAGATATCAACAAATAAAAAATCGTTAATGCATATATTTGTTCAGTCAATCTTAACAAACCTTCGGCATGAAGAATTCGATAAAATGAGTCTATTGACATGCGTTGCATTTCATCATATTCAATAGGTTTAATTGCATCAGCTAATTTAAACGGTTTCATCTTTTTCTGTTGTACACTTGGTATTGTGGACATTGTTGTTATTCCTGCCGATGTTGATGGCATATCACTAAGTTCATTGCCACTGGTCGATGGTAACATTGGTTTTCCTTCAACATCTGCGGATGACGAAGGAAAAAAGTCATCACGTTCAATGCCCGTAATGCTTGCTATAGGTTTTCCTTCATCAATATCATCGTCAATTTTTGGTTTAGCTTGCTAAAAATTAAAATTTTAATATAAATATTTTGAGCACTTTTTATTACCTGTTGAGATTTCATAAGTTCATAACCTTTGCCATAGCCAGCTGCTGTTAATTGTGCACCAAGTAATCGTGCTAAATGTTCGATTTGCGCGGGTGTGCCAGCAGCTGCAATTGGTGTATATGTTGCTTGAAATGATGCTGGCATTTTTTCGGGTAATAAAAACATGGATACAAGAACTAAATCAACAACATTTCCAATAGATAACTTTCCAACAAGATCAGCAGCTGTTATATCAATTGCTGTTTGATGTTGTGGATATGGCGATGATGGACTCGTCGAAGTGGAGGACATCGTGGAACCATGTGTACCACTGGTAGATATTCCTTTTCCACTTATACTACTATTTGAATCATCTTTATCAAAAATACTCGTATCATCCTAGGAAAATTCAAAATATTAATATCAACATAGAAGAATCTGTTGTTGTTTTTATAACTTACAATCGTCATCTTAGGTTTTTTCGTATTGATTTCGCTATTACTTAATGTTATTTTACGTTTCGATTCTGCTGGTGCTTTAGGTAAATGTTTAAGGACCTAAAGATAGGAGAAATTTTTACATGAAAATTAAAATATTCATAAGAAAAATATACTTCGGCTTGTGTTGCGCCAAGATCAGTTAGTAATGTTGTTATTTGAGGTTGAAAATCGAATGAAGCAGGATGTTTGAGAAGACTTAATAATTTTAATTTAATTATTTTACGTACACTACTAACTTGTGAGTCAACCAATGTCGGGGGTAGATTAACTTTAATATATATATATATATATATTGATTTAAAGAAACAATAAAAATCGATAATTTTACCTTGTAATGCTTCAAAAGTTTGTACAACACGGCTCATATAATCTGGTCTTTGTCGAGCAATATTTGCTATTGCGCCCATTGCAGCTATTAGATTAACACTAAATTCATAGTTTTTTATTTGAGAAAAAAAGAGAAAACAATTAAAATTTGTACCTGGATAAATGTTGAGAAAGTGTAAATTCAAGTAATTTCTCCATAACATCTTTTCCTTCTTGTTCAAGTTTATTTCGACGTAATATACGATGATCATCTTGTAATAAATTAAGGGAAAAATCTTGTTCATTGAAAGTGGGAACGATTGAATCCTATATAAAATAAAAATGTTGAGTTATAAAAATATTTTATTTGTGGATTTTTACTGATGTACGACGTGATAACACAAGTGCAAGCATTTCAATAAATTTAATAGCGACCGTACGAAGTCTAAAATATTCAAATTTAGAATAAATAACTTTTTTTGTGCACTGAGAATTATATTTACCCATCATTATCAGAATCAAGCATAGCAATTATATGAATTTTCATGTTCACCATACTTTCCCACATACTACGAACGTTTTCATCGACAAGACGAGATTTAGAAAGCCACTAAACAAACATAAAAAGAAAATCAGATAAGTAATTATATTTGTTATGGAAATCATACGATAAATAGTTCATATCATTTACTGCATAGATTGTATTTTTTTAAATCATTAAAATTAAAATGCTCACCTTTAAAGTCAATCTATAAATCGTAATCATACTGACAGTCAATCGTTTTTGTACAAGTACATTATCATCGTAAAGTAAAAGTCGTAGACTATCAATCACTTTAACAATCACTTCGGGATCGTGTTGACTAGAAACATAAATAAATAAACAAATAAGCGTATAGCAAAAATATTATCTTTTATAACGAACCAAGCTTCTTCAATAAATGATATAATAGTTTTTCTCACTTCAGGACTTTTATCTGTTTGAAAACAGAGTACTTCCTAAATATATACGAGATCGATACAAATATTTCCGCTAAAACAAAATATTTTACTTCAAGAAAATTATCAAGTAAACTTGGATCTTTTCGTAAAATAAGTTCTTGTACATGCCGAAGATGTTGTACTCTAACACTATCTTTTCCATAAAGTTGTGCTTGATTAATTAGTTCCACAATCTTAATAAAATCATCTTTGATATAAAGATCGGCTTAATAGAGAATAGTTTATTTACCGTTTCTTGTATATTTTCGGACATTTTTGTTTCTATATCTACAAATTAAAAAACACGAACCATTATTTTTCCAAAGAATGTGTTTTTTGTTTTTGTATATTCCTCCATTAGAAACTACTACGCTATTTTAAAAAATCATTAACCTATGGATAGACAAGGTTTTCTACTAGATAGCTCATTAACTATGGAAAATATCCAACGATGAAAATACTATTTCGAAGCATGTTTTACACAGAAGTTCATCGATATCGTTCATAGCACTGATTCCAATCGAGTATTTCAATAAAACATTTCTTTCGAGATTATATTCTATTACACTTTATTCGTTTTCTAAACATTTATTTGGAGAAAAACTTTATTAATACTTTTTATTATTTGATATGTGACGGAATAGGGAAACAGATAGAGTACATATTTACAAATACAAAAATAAATTATATTACCATTTGTATGTATTTCTACAAGTCTTCACATGCGTATTGTGACCCTGTTAAATTTTTTATTTGACAATTCTTCAACTTAACTTCATCATTCAAATGACAGATCTTTCTAAAGATAACAAAGTAGAATACAGCTAGAAAGTGGCCCATGAAACACAATACAGACAGTCTATCGATTATGGTCGATAAGATCAGAATAAAACTAAGGCAAGAGTAAGTAGCATGAAATACATAAATATCGCTTCTGATCGAAGAGAATAGCGTACATATAATTGTAGTCATACTGATTTCGATGAACTATATTTGGAATGATGTCTGTTATGAGATATTTGCATAGCCTATACAAGTTGTTTTATTCTCTAGACCTATTGTTCATGGCTAAGGTATCGGTTTAGGCATGAGAATGAATTTTCGTGATAATTGTATAATAGATCAACGGATATTCCTCTTGCCATGGTACACACATGCAAAGGTCTGAGCGAAAAAATCTAGGTACATCACATAGAAGGAAAATACAATTAAAAAAAGGTTGATTGAACTCAAGTGTGAAACTATCGATCTAAAAAAATCCTTTATATAATCGATTGCTTTAATGTACATTCATAAAAAATTTCTATGATAACATATTTTAGTACATGGCCATAATTCTCGGTGTCAGCTTCGGAAAAGCAATAACATATATTTGTGCTCGTAGCTGTACGAATGCGTACCAGATGATGGAATATTACTTGCATTTAATAATACAAATTGTATTTGTATTTATGCAAATTTTGCTATTGCTCAAACTTCATTAGAAGTTGAACAATAAAATATTCAACAGGATCCATTCATATAAATCATGATGCGTTTCAATGTCGCTCATCATGAAACAGCGTAATTTTACAGCGTTTTGATCGAATGTAGAATGCTATTCTTTCATGTTCATACAGGTCAGATTGTTGTCGTGCATTCATTTCATTGTATATCTCTAGGTGAACGCTATTTTAACATACAAATATGGTTTGTCATTACTCCGAGCAGGACCATTAGCTAGAACGAACCGCATTTTACTTTATTTATAAATAATTATTCACAAAAATCTTACCATTTAATTGAAACCTACCGATGGCCATATGATCAATCATAACTCATGTACAAAAATAAAAGTAGACCTTTAAAAAAATTTAATATGCCAACAAAAAAAAATCGAATTTTCGTCAGATCAAAACATGGAAATTTAACACATCAATAGTCTACAGTAACGATCAACTTTTCTCAAAGGTACAGTTGATGTTACGCTGATTTAAAAGTTAGTCATCGTGGTCATTCTTCCCCTCTGCTGATTCTTACTGTAGCATATAAGAGAAAGTTTTATATAAAACAAAAATCTAGTGATCGAACGGATGATGAAAACGTTTTTTGATTACTTACAGAAAATTTATTGTTGTATCCTTAAACTATTGATGCAAGTCGTGTAAGACAAAAACGAAGTTATGTCTATGGATAGGAAATGAAGTTCGATGCTGCTAGTAGGCATAAAAAAAGCACATATTTGAGTTAAAGCGCATAGAAATTAATCAAATATTAATTTATTTATAGAATAATCGAGAGAATTTCTAACAAAGTAACATTGCTACTGCTAAACGCAATGCATTCTCTTTTTAGTTGTATGAAGCTAAGTTACACACTCCATTGTTTGAGGTACTATGTAACCAATCGGATAATAGTCCTCTAGTATTCATCAGTTTGATACAATATTTCATCCAGAGAAATCCTGTTTGATTAATTAAACTAATTGAAATTTGTTGTCGGCATTACAGAAAAGTTTTATCATTAAAATCGTCAACATCAGAGGTCACTACTTGCAATTCTTTCAAATGAATGGGTTTACACATATTTTCTTCCAAATGACGACTAGGAAAGAATCTTTTCATTGACTCATAAAATAAAATTCAGCATAGTTATCGTAATTACTTACATCCCTCATTCTGTCATAATAATATGTATGACTTACTGGCATCAACTAATGTTTATCCTGTGTTCAGAATGAATTAATATCTATTTTAGAATGGCAAAAGAGTCCTCAAACCCTACGACATACTTTCACCAAAAGACATTTGGACAAAATATTCGACTAGATCATAATGCATTAAGAGCCACTCGAAATACATCATTTGATCATGGTCATATGCTCGTGTCTTTCTGAATTTAACTTTACCAATTGCATTTCTATTTTCAGGTATTACATTTACAAATAAACAAATAAAAATAAATGAACGTATACATATGAAAATCGTTGATATCGATGAAAGCGGCCAATGGTTAGGATCATTAGCTATTGGTAAAATGAAAGAAATAATTAAATTTATAAAATTAAAAAAAACTATTCTTTCAGGTTTTGTTCAAACTAATCCAGACAACATTCAAAGTCGTGATTTATGTAAATCTGCTATGCCAAATATTTGTCAAAAGACTGTAGTATCCTATGTTAAACGTATATTTGACAAACTAACAAGAAATACTGTGATTACATTCTATTATAATCAAGAGTTAGTCTTTAATTTAACACGAAATCAAATATTTATTTTCTTATTCAGAGGAGCTTTTTATATGTTGGATGGAAACGAACAAGATATATGCAAGAACATTGATTTCAACAGGCCCATGTGGGGTGTTATTGATCTATACGGAAATGTGAAAAGTATGTTATTGAATATTTTTCTATTTTGAGAACACTACTTAGAAATTGAATGAGCTGAAATGCTACGAATTCGATATTGATATAGGATCATCCCGAGATAAAATAAAATATCTTTCGGTTATACTTAAAATCAAAATAAGATTAAACTTTTTGTAATACCAAATTGTGAAAGATCTCTTATGTATCAATGTCTTACAAGTCAAGATTGTGTGTATTATGCAGATCTCAACGAAATATGAACGGTTGCAAATTTTGAATGGAGACGAAACTTAGAAAAAATTAGTCAATTATAAAAAATGTATCTTGTCTTTTGATATAATTCTATTCTGAAATACTCAACGTGAAAAATTTAGCTCGATACATTGAAAAACTGAAGTGTTGCAAGGACGAGCATCGCAGCATTCATTTACAAAATACAGTAACATGGTAGTATGTCTATGAGTAAATAGATAATTCCGTAGAGTATTCATAGTCGCACATTGCATCAAATCAAAAGTAATATATCATTTAGGGAATTTCTTTCTTGAGTCTCAAATCAAGAGCAAAACTTATTGTGAGATTATGAAGTGATTCCTAGAAAAACTTCATAATCTCACAATAGAGTCCTGCAGGCTAAGACTTTTTTGTACCCTAATCCTACTCTATCATAAAACTTCGTACCCTTGTCCTGCCCTGCCCTACAACGTTCTTACCCTAGCCCTACCCTGCCCTATAGACTTCGTAACCTTGCCCTGCTATGCCCTACGAGTTTTGTACCCTAGTCCTGCAGGACTCTATCTCACAATAAGATCATGTCCATATATGTTAATAATCATTTATTTATCGTTGCTAGCGAGATTTTGACTTGAATCAAATGATTCCATTTTTAGGCGCTATTTTGGTCGGCCCACTCAATACGATAGCAGATAGCAGAGCATTTTTTATCAAATATAATCAACAGCCAGACAAATTACCATTGCAGTATTTCACGAAAGTAAACCCTGCCAATCTTCAACCAGTTACTTTTCATGAAGTTCATGGACCCGAACTTGACTTATATTGTCAAAATGCAGTTGTCTTCCGAAAAAGTATATTAAAACTTATCATAGAAAAATTATTTAATACATATATTTTACTTGTATAAGATGTTCGAAAACTCTCACGTCCTTATATATTTCTTGATTTTCCAATGAAACCTGGCGATGAATTTTATATACGTATTTTATCGCTTGATTTTAACTATCGAAAACCGTAAATAATCATATTCTATTTCCGTACAATATCTTAATCTTTTTTTCTTTTAAAGAGGAGTTATTGGTTTTACCACTGCTCAACTACCAGACATTTTGAATCATTTCGAAAGACTACCTGCTGATGATCCAATGGCTTTATGTGATCGTCCTGAATTTTGGGTTATAAACGAAGATGCATTCGACGAAACATTAAATGAACTTGATGAGTTTCATTTTTCATATGAAAAAAATGGTGATATTTCAATGTCGCACAATAATGGATCAAAATCTCCAACAAAAACTATAGCATGTGGAGATCCTAGTCGGCCATTTCATCCATTCTTTTTCCTGAATGGTCGTATAATGTCATTCTCTTTAATCGGTCCTATTTCAGTAACAAAAGTGAGGTCTACAGCGCCAGGTCCAAAAGAGGATGATGGTTTATGTCAGTTGTGTTCAGATGCACCAGCAAACTGTGTGATGATTCCATGCGGTCATCTATTCTTTTGTTCTGATTGTAGAACTGACTTTGAAGTAAAATTTAAAAAACATTGCCCGATTTGCCGACTAGATTATACTGATGTTATTGAAATTCAAAGTGATTAGTGATTGGCCTATGTATTCTTTTTTGTTTTGATATTTTTTTTATGAATACGACAAAATAAATTTTTTTACCTTATTCATGCTTTAACTAAATAAACTTATTTCAGGTTAAAAAGAATAGAAATCAATGTCCATAACCAATTGGTCACTTATTTCATTACTTTCATCATCAATTGAACAATGTAAATCAATTGAATTTATGCCATTAACATCAACAGATGAATATAAAGTTTATTGTTACTGTGAAGAAAATATTTATTTATGTTTGAATATACTTGAAATAAAACCAATTGTTAGTTTATGTTACTCATTTATTTTTTCGAAAGATTATCAACAAGACAATCAATTAAATATTTCAACTCGTGTTTTACTTTGTTACACAACTGAATGTTTAACAAGTTGGAATATACGGCGACGTTTACTCTTATCTCGTATAATAAATATTCAAGAAGAACTTCAATTTTTAGATATTCTTCTTAATTTAAAACCTAAAAGTGAACAATTATTTCGATATAGACGTTGGATATTAAAACAAGAAGAAATCGATAAAGTATCGACCAATAAAGAATTAGAATTATGTGATCGAACAGCTGAAAAACATTTTATTAACTACGCATCATGGTTACATCGAAGATGGATTATACAATATTCAAACGTAAATATTGACGAAGAATTAGAGCGAAATCGTCTATGGTTAGAAAAGAATTTATCAGATTCAAGTGGTTATTCATTTCGTGCTCATCTTTTATCGAAAAAAGTTTTAGATGAAAATTTAATTCGAAATGAATTAAACATGAATGATAATATGTTGGAATTTTACTATGACAGAGAATCATTATGGATTTATAGGCAAACATTAATATTTCTAGCAATGAAATTGCAAATCATTGATAAAAAACAATTATTAAGTAACGAATTAGATTCAATAAAAAAAATTCAAGAGAACTTTTTTTCAAATAGATATTCTCGATTGTTAAATACACTTTTATCTAGTGATGGAAAACAATTTCGAACTTAAAATAATAAATGACTTTCATCTCACAGTGTATTTATCTATCTTGATTTTGATTCAATTATATTTCTCAATATGACCGATGTCTATAATATTTGTCAAAAGGGGAACGTCGAGGCCTCGTTGGTATGTTATCGTAATTAATAAATAATTCACAACGTAGGTGTTGTTTTTATAAAATGTTTTTGTAAATACTGATGTAACTGACGAACCGTATCACAACCAAAAATACAACGATCAAAAAAGCGTCATGCATTTTATGAAGCTAGAAAATTTTAATTATTCATTTCGGTAAAATCTATATTTCACTGATTAGAAGAATGAGGATTTCGAAGTAGTGATGATACTACTCTATAGTAGACTTACTATAACGAATGCTCAATTATCTTAGTGCTAATTTATCTAAATGAAACAAAAAAAAATCAATGGTCATTAACGACTTTTGTTTTCATTGGCAACCATATTCAACTGTCAAAAGAATACTTTGCCAAGATAAAAACAGAAAAGTTCCATTTAATGTGTGGTTTTTAGCAGCACTATTCTCTAATATACGTATATATATATATATATATATAGATCTATTTTATTTTCATCCTCTAACTATACAAATCATAACAATAAGAAAAAATAAATGACTCTATCTGACAAAAGTTATATCTGTGGCGTATTTTGTGTCATGGAAGTATTGGCTGTATTTTGATTAGTGGTTGCACCAGTAAGTAATTTTCGACTTTCATTAAAATATTGATTTGGATGATTTATTCCAACACCGTAATTTTTAACTTTATGTTGATATTCAAAAAAGATCTGACAAGCTATTTGATAATGATGATTTTTTGTTTTATCTATTATTTCATTAACCGTTTCTTCATTAATATCATAATTATTTGTTAAACGTTGTTTGAGTGTTTGTGTGTCCCAGTGCCGATATGGACATCCGTGATGTTCGTTAACACCTGGTGGTGGATCTTGTATAATTTTCATGCAACTGTACGGCGTATAAGATGTATGTTTTCCTTCTTGACCGTACGCATGACGTATATTGTAAACATGTTCACGTTCAAATTGTGCAGGATTCATTGAACCATTTGTAACGAATTCATGACGAAAAAATTTCATACATTCATCAAGCGATAAGCCCATACCTTTAAGAAAAAGTCGATATTGTAAACGACCTAAATGTTTTAAATGATGCTGTTGAACCATTTGCTCATGTAAATGACGCATACATAATGGAAATGAACGTTTCGATAAGCCATTTAGCATATCATATGTTATTGTTTCAGTTTGTTCATTGTCATTGAATGCATGTATATTTGTATGAGTTCCATGAATACGTTTTTTTCTTAACATTTTTAATATTGACTCAATACGTGTATCCATTTGTTGAAAAGATTCGTATTTTTTCGATGAACATGTCATTTGATAGGATATATTCATGCGAAAATGCTGTAAGACAAATGATATTATATCGTTATCAGATACATAGGCATAGCCACGAGCAAGAAAACATGAACGTTTACGAACTAAATCAGGTACGTGTTGAAAACGAACACGAAAATATGTTGTTGAATCAAATGATTTAGCTATTGTTGCTGCATTTGTTAAACCTTTTATCATTGTTGATGCGATTAAACATTCTTTATGTTGTTGCTTTTCTTCATCGGCAACAAGTTCATAAAATTGTTTTATATTACTTGATGAATCATTTAAATAACTTAATTGTTCAGCTTTTGTTAATATTTGAAAACGATAACGAAATAATTCAAGTTCATTAGTTATAAACCAACGACGTTCTTCTTCACTTGGACAAAATGCCAAACGAAGAATATAATGAGATATAATATCATTTTCTAAATCCATTGATGACGCACCAGTAAACGATGGAAATATGATAAACTAAAAGAAAAACAATAAATCGAAGCTGAATTTTACTTTTAATAGGATTATTTGAATTTACATTCAATTCTCTGATTGAATTTCACTATGCTTTAAGAGTTCTTACTGCTATTTGCTTGACGACAACTGCCGATAAAATACTAGTTCTCAAGCACGGTAAAATAGAATCCAAAGAAAATCGCACAAACTACGATACTTAAAAGTTGATATAGCGTGTGAATACTGGGTGTACTATAAGCAAAGCTGTATTAACTAGACTAGAAACAATCCTTTAAAATTCAATTTTCTTTTTGCTTCATTCCAAAAAACAGATTTTCTGTTGACTATGTTAAACATTATGTGTTTCCATCGAACTCTCAAGATTTGATATCAAAACTTACTTTTAAATGATTTAATTTATCTTTTAGTTCTTTTCGTATTAATTTTTCAATTTCATCCTTCTTATTCATTGGTGCTACTGATAGTGTTGTATTTAATTTTGCAAGAACTTGTTCGATGGTTTTCAAAATTCGAAGTCTTTCAATAGCTAATGATTGAAAAAGTTCAAGAGATATGGTTGTATTTTCTGGATACGTATCATAATAAGGCATATAGGTGCCATTGTTTGAATTTATTGATAATGATGAAAAATTCGAAGAATTAAAATTTGTTCTTTTTGCCGATGGTGTAGATGATGAGTTTAGAGAAAAACGTGTAGACGGATATTGCATTATGCAAAAATAGAATCTGAAAAAAAAACAAAGAAAAATGATGATCTCTATTCTTTTATATTTCTATTATAGACAGTAAACAAATATAACGAAAAGAAAAATAGAGTTTATGTTCATTTTATGTTGACGTGCGTCGGATGTATCATAGTAATAATGATCATAATAATCATCCAGTGGAGTAGATATGGATGAATTTGTTGAATTTCTTATTACGTTTGAATATTGAAGATCAGGTTTACTTGCATATGTAATATTGAATAAACTGAATACAATAAAAAGAATAATAAGTAATTTTTCAAGCATGATCTTGTAATATCACTAATATTTTTCTTCCGTTTAGTTTGTATTTTATATTTCAAATAAATCGACGATCAATCAAGTGTAAAATATGTACCAGTGATTCAAAAAAATCGGAGCACACCTTACAGACGTATCTATATCATACACAAGTAATGGTAACTCTCCTTGTACGCATGACATAAACGACTCAAAAGGTGTATTCCGTTTATTTTGATCAGAGGCAAACGCAAAAAGAACAAAAATAGATGAATATCATAGGTAAAAAGAACATGTAGTCGTCGTTAAAATTTAAACATGTTCATTCAATATCATCATTACAATGCTCACCTTAATATAACATAACATACACGACATTTTGAAGTACGTCGTTCGTTTTTTTTCAAGTTACATAATACCTATAGATTAATTGTGCTTTATATTAAAAAACAACGTATAGCCATTCAACTCTATATCAATCAATACTTGGAATCGTCGTATATTGAATAGTTTGTTTGTGTTTCTGATGATGAAAAACTTCATATTTTCATTGATTTAATTCTTTTGTATCGTTGATTACTTTCGATCAAGAGTTAACAAGCTAGAAAAAGATTATTTTTCTATTAAATAGAAACTAATTACCTTATGTTATTCGGCATCGAAGAATACGAATGATCATCGATGCATGTTTTGAACCAAAGAAAAACAAAAAGAATCAGTATGTTGAGTTTTATTATTGAAATTGTTTTTCTGTATTCACATTTTCTTTCTATATGTATATAGATCAAAAAATAAATATTATAAGACAAAAAAAGGAAAAGAAATACTATAGGCAAAACAAGGAGAAAACAAAATTCGCGTTTAAAAACCTCACTACAAACCAGGACGGAAGATGTTTAAGAGAAAAAAACAAAAATCAGAAAATCCAGTATTTATTTTGTTCTACATGCTTACATACATTTTCAAATATATCAAGATTAAGATTCAACGAAAAACGATTAAACAAAGAAAACAAAACAAAAACAGTGCAATGCGTACAGCATGATATTTGACATACACATAGCGTAGACAATAAATATCTATATTTACGAAGAAAGAAAGCACAAGTAGGATTAATTTGTTGTTGAATTTTGTTGTTGAGGAAGAACTTGAATAACACGGCCGCTACCTTTTGTTTGATTACTTGATCGAAATATTAATCGAGCTCCTTCAAATACATATTCACAACGATTTCGAAATCGAAATGTTACAATGGCTTGTTTGTCTGCATATAATTCTTCCTTAAATTCAATATTTAAATTAGGTTATGAAAAAAAAAGAACTTTTCGTTTTCATTACTTTATCCATATCAACAATTAGAGCAGTTTGACGAATATTTTCTATTTGAACAGTTGTTTCAAAACCTTTACGTATTGGTGTATTTGTATGATGCATAGAAAGATCAATCTCAGCAACGAACTCTACGCATGCTTTAGGTTCAGATGTTGATGACACAAGTACCATACCCTCAATTATTCAACTAAAAATAAGCATTGATATTTCGTTAATCGATTTTCTACCTTTCGTAATCGACTGCCTTCTATTTGAGGAAGACTAAGAGTTGCAGCTTGACCAGCACGAACCATTCGTCTTGGAACACGGTATCGTTGAATAGTAGTTACCTTAGCTGGTAAAAATGTACCATCTAATAGAGGACCAACAAGGAAACTTTCACCTTCACGTATTATACCACTATAAATAAAACAAACAGCAGTGTTATATTATTCAAGAAATAAAAAAACAGTCAAATACTTAGATAACTCTAAAGACTAATTTCAAACTTTCTATGCCTTCTGTTAGAACTGAATCTGAATTCTTTTTTTCCATCACAATAAAAAAGAAAATATCTCTAATATTGAGATATTGCTCGATTCGGTACTTGAGTAGAACTCAGTAAAACAAAGAGAATTCTAAATGGATTTTAAGAGACTGGAAACAGTCATAGGAATGACATATAGTTGCTCCGATAACTACGTAAAATAAACTCTTTAAATCGTACCTTCTCAATATTCCACCAACCACAGCTGTACCCGATGTATTGCTCGTATAAATTGAATCAATCTATTTGATGAAATAAAATCGTATGTATTATATAAATTTAATAGATAAACAAATCTTACTCGATATTCAACTGGTGCTAATGAAAGACGTTCTTGTTCTTTAGCAGTTAATTTTGGTGGTAAAATATTGAGAAATTTTTTTAATAAATCAATATTTTCACCGGTTACACATGAAACCGCAAATATGGGAAATACACTTTTAGCAACAAACATTTCAGCTGCTTTAACAAGATCTTCTTCGTTTCGTATGGGATATGATTCCAACGGAGCTGAACTATGTCCATGTTTAAGTAAATAAGTTAAGCATCCTATTGTTTCTTGAATAGATGCTTTTGAACATAAATCAATTTTATTAATAACAACAAAAACAGGCACATCTAATGTAATTGCATAGGAAAAATGTTCTCGAGTTGTATCAACTAAAAATGAATTTCATGTTTTTAAAACTAAAAATATTTATTTTACATTAGACAAAACAAAACCTACCAACACTCGATGGTGCATCAACACATAACATTGCAAAATCAGCAGCACGAGAAGAAAGACCAAATATTGTTGTTTTCATATACTTTGAATGGCCGGCAAGATCAGTAAAAGTAATAACTTTAAAAAAAGATATCTTTACAAAACACGAAAATCAAAAGTAAATAATTTTAATACTTTTAGTTGATCGATCACAAATTTCATTTGCTGTTCGACAACAACGATAATCAATACTCTGCAAAAAAAAGACGATTGAACTTTTCAAAAGAAAAACTGTTTTTTTAACTAATCCATACTTCTCCTAAATCATTAAAACCTAAAATTTCATGTGTTATAGATGATGTTCTTCCAGTTTGAATTTCATGTAAATGTCGAAATAGATTAAGCCTTGCTCGACCACGTCCATTATCGAGTTCACCATGTGTACAAACACCGACAAGTGAACTCTTTCCGCTGTCGACTGTACCCAATACAGCAACACGTAGATCAATAAAATGTTGATCGTCCGGAACTTTTCGTACAAGTACTTCAACAATATGTCGTTCATTTTCTAATTTACGTTCATGAAGTTTTGTTATTGATGCATCTAGTCTATCAGCCATTGTTTTTAATGTTGCTAATGATGCTTCGAGTTCTTCACTACTAACACCGCTGAATGTACCACAATCTTCTACACCAATTTCATATAGAGCCTCGCCTTGTCCTTCTTGTAAACGCCAATTCATTTGCGTTATTAAATGTTCAAGGCGATCTGGATTGGGATCGATTAATTTAAGTTTATATTCGATATTACCTTCTTGAGGCTAAGCAAAACAAAAATAAAAATTTCACTTGAAAATTCTTGAAAAATTACCTCAGGAGGTAATCCAGTTAGAATAAAAGGTGAACGAGGTACTTGTTCATTAGCATCGTCGTCATCTACTGGACCAAAAAGGCTTACCATATGTTTATCAGCCTGAATAACATCGTAAAAAAAACCAACAATTTTCCTATTTATAAAAAAAGCATTATTAATCATACATGATTATCTTCAGATTTCCCATTTCTATTTAATATAGAATCTCGATTGGACATCTGAAATAAGATACAAATTTTTATTGAGATGTAAAACATGATGAAATTTTCAGGTAGTTTTGTGATGAGCTTACCCTTATTAATTAGAAAATGAAAAAAAGAAACTCTTCTTATCGACTAAAACTGTATAAATCTCTATTGCTAAGATCTTACTCTTCATTGCATCATCTCGATTCTTTTTCTTTCCTTCAAATGCATGACACTAATGTATCAGTGCGCTTGAAAAAAAACGAAAAGAAAGAAAGAAAACCAAGTTCAGGGAAACTTTTCCGTAATAGTAATTTTGTTTTTGTTTTCTTTAGACATAATTTATATTATCTAAAAAAATATCAAAATTATGTTGGTATTACTGAAGTTCAATTTAAGGCAATTAGAACTTCGAAATCAATAGAAATAAAAATTATTCTTGTATAATCAATATATTTTATATGTCTAGATGTGAGAACTCTTCTTAGTTGTCTAGTCTAATTTACGTATTGTATACTGCAAGAAAGGTTTTGAAGACTACATAATTCATGATGTCTACTTCAGTTAAGAGATAAATCAAATCGCTAAAATGGGTACTAAAAAAATGAAAATAATTTTTCCTCGTGAATCAATCATTATAAACCTATTTGAATACGATAAAACTTAAAACAAAGAAAAAATATTTATATTATACCTTGAAATGTTAATAAAGCAAGAATAAGTCGAATATTTTTTGAATGAATTAATTTTATATATTAGAAACTGCTTATAACTATAATTGTTAACAGGAGTTTGATATTTTATTTTTCATAATGTTTATTGTGTATTAATTTCATTCAAGCATTTTTTTTATCACTAATATTATCATAAATACGAAAATAATCTATTGTAACAAAAGAGTAAATAGAAATAAACTATAATGAAAAAATCATTTAAGAATACATAATTGAGCAACATTCATCTAGTATAGTTACAGATTTATCATTATTAAAGTATCTACAAGTAAATGAAACTTTGATATTAAATTGTTTTAGAGATAATTAAGTACTATTATTTATCTTTTTTTGTATTCAAGGAGATACTATGTACCTCTGAAGATTATACCAGTACATTTTATTTGTAGTACACGGAAATTGGACGAATAGGTGAATGAATAAATCGAATTTTTTAAGTCAAAATAGAAAATGAGAATTTTTCAAAGAAAGAAAAAAATGAACATTTGATTAGTCGACAAATTTTTCAGTGACAATGTGTCATATAATAGCCTTTGTCAGAGGTGTCGCTAGGTTACGTAGGTAATGTTAGGACCAGATTCGCGTATTTCGCGTCCGGATTCGCCTACTCCACTGTGCTGGCTCTCTAACTCGTTGTGCTGGGTTCAGAATTTTGAGCTCTATCGAAAAGTAACTGATTCAGGCGGG